TTGGGAGGGTCTACTTACTGTATTAAAATAGGGTCTTCAATAAGCTGCATGAAGAGAAAAGGAGAGGGAATTACCCTTATTAAACATTAGCACCCCCAAACCCTTCGGCCATTCATCCCCACAAGCTCAGTAGTAGATCCTGAATCTGACTCCTCACTTACAGGAGGGGTCTTAACTCTCCCTGATCCCCCTCAGCATCCTCTCTGCAGCAGTGTTCCCTGCCGCTGACGGGACAGCTCTCCCAAGTCAGGAGGCAGCCAGTTTACCTCCTTTTCCTGAGGAACAAACACACATCTCTCCTTCAAAGTATTCCTTCCAAATACATTAGCAATAGCGTACATAGCAGTGATCAAGAAACTTCACATTTTTAGTAAACCTTACTTTGGTTCATCTTTTGGAAGACCCAAAAATAAGGAAAAAGAACAAAGCTTTCCCATTATCACACTGAGTAAATATTTCTCATTTGAGTACGGCAGGTGAATTTGAAACCTTTGGAACGGGCTTAGACCAAGACAACTCCCTCTTCTGTGTCCTAGTCCAATTCTTCTACTTAAAGACAGTCTGTGTCACAACTTCTTGGCATGTGAAGACTGCTCTACAGCAAGAAGCCAGGGCTTCATCACGGTCTATGGTCTTTTTTATTATCATTGTTTTTAAACCACCCATTATGTTGTTAGCATCAGTTCTGCTTCGTAACAACCACTGCCATCATTCATATTTCAGAAACACTTTGATGTTGGTGGGAATGAGCCTGCTGGGGGGGGGGGGGGTCTAGTTAGTAGCCTTGAACAATCCCTGCCCAGTTTGAGCTCCATCAACAGCTGTATCTCTGTCATCTCTGCAACCGTGTTTAACCAGTTCCTACTAATTACCCACAGACAGCTTCACCCTCAGCTGTCACGCTGAACCACAGAGGCATATCTATACCATTCTGTTAATTTTATTTGCTATTGATGACATGCTGTCCTTAGGAATTATAATTTATCTTCAGAAGTGGTGTATACCTGTTAATTTACCAGAGTCTCACAACAGCCCTGGGAACTAGAATCACATTCATTTTTTGGATGATAAGATGGAGACTAGATAAGTTATATTTTTCTTCCACTTCAGAAGGAAAGTCTGGGCTTGGAGCCCATTTACTCAGAGTTACTTCACATCTCAGAGTGGTGGTTGATGCCATTTTGGGAGGGGGATAGGAATGAGAATGACACATACAGCCTCTATCGTATTGTTCTTTTAAAAGATCTTCTATGCTGGCTTGATATTCTTTTTTGCTTTCTTTGCCAAATGGGTTCACTTTACTTCCTAGAGCTGCAGAGAGTAATATAAAAGTCTTGTGAGATTCCGCAAGGATATTTCAGCTCTCAGTGTGACAGTGCAGTTTTCTTTCTTCAGGCCCGCCATCTGCTCCTCTCAACTTGATTTCAAATGTCAACGAGACATCAGTGAACTTGGAATGGAGCAGTCCTCAGAACACAGGTGGTCGTCAGGACATTTCCTACAACGTGGT